TATAAGGGTTTTTGTGTATTACCATTTTTTCCAATGGTTATTATTATTATTATTAATAATGTTCTTGTCATTATTTTTAAATGTTAGAGATGCATTTTAAATTTTTTTCTTCTTTAATAAACACGGCTAAGAACTATTTAAATATACAATTTTATAACATTTACATTTTGCATTACTTTGCCGTAATGATAATTGCAGGGTGAGGTGCTTCATTTTCATTGAAATATTTAATCACTTTATTCTTAATATTACAAGTAAACAATGCTGTCTTTATTTGCCATAAAAATACTTTCTTAAGATGTGCATTATTATTATACAAACAGGGCCTTTTGAGTAATATGATTTATCTGGTTAAATGCAGAAATGGCAAATGTGTCAGCTCCATGTGTGCTTCATGAGGACAATGTTCACCTGGTGTTTGGTAAACCTCATTTGTGATTTAGATGATTTTTGAGAGCAGAGGCTTCTTGACGTTTGACATTGCATGGGTCCAAATTGAGCAGTCTCTTTCAGAGAGCTGACTGAAATGTTCCGGTAGACTCTGATGCATTCAGCATCTCTTTGGTTCAATTGGTTTGCTAGTGATTGACTACAATTTACAATCTTTTTTTCTCAGAAACCCTCTCCATCCTCACATACATCCTGTCACACACGTACACTTTTGATCTTGGCATGACTTTACACATTCACATGTAAATGTAATTTGGGGAAAAAATGAACTAATGGTCTTTGTGCAAATGTGTTTTTTTTTTCAGCTAATGGCTGTTACAGTGGAGGTGAACTTGATCTTTGTCATACTGGGATAGAAAAAGATGTGAAATACAAACATTTTGATCATGCTACCACTGTCAACAGCACAAAGACACTCTCAAATGGAAATGGAGATGTAGACGGTGTCTATCACAGGACCCTTTCAGATGTTGAAGTGAGTAGACTCTGTCTGAGAGGACATTTTATGATAACTCAAACACAAAAACACAGTATTCTAAGCAAATGTAGCCTTATTTCTAAAAAAAAGAATAACATTGTAATAAATGTAATAATCTTAAAGTAATTATAGTATTTGTAAAATGTATTTTTAAATACCAATTAAATATAAAATTATTTGATGTATATATATCATATATACATATATATATTCAAATCTGACTGATCTCTGGTTTTCACAGGAAGTCACACGTCCACATTAAAGGGAAATTGATTTCTTGATCATACTTAAGGTAAGAAATTGTTCAAAAATTTTATTTTTTTCTTTTTCTTTTTACTTATTTTGTGCAAAATAAGCTCAGTTTTAATTTTCTCGTCCCGTTTCTGTTTTGTTTTTGTTAAGACTCTGGAAACCACCCATGCAAGCATGTGAAAGACAGGAAATCTACAGCTAAAGTTCCTGACATGGTGCTTAACATTTAGAACATACTGTATTTTTACCACGAAACGATTTTTAAAGTTGCATTATTTTGTCTTTTTTGTTATTTTTAAGGCTATGGATTTTTTAGTACACTGTACATAAATGAACTTTGATCATGAAAAACAAATTATATATAAAGTTAATATATGCGATTTAAAAAAACAAGCCTGGAGCTTAACATCAGAATTGCTGCTCAGACATACAGACTCAGGATTTTCTCACTTGTGAAGATGAGACAAGCGCTCCCTTTAAGGATACTAACCTGGGAACGACAAGAACATTTATATGCTGCATCGGCGGAGAAAGACTGCTTGTCTTTTGACTTCAAGTTATGATGTCGCCATTTTCACATATCTGTTGAGAGAACTGTCTCAAAGGAGCAGCCTTTGCTATTGCTACATGTGCACTTACATCACAGTTAACCTGGACACACTTGAGGACATAAGATGTTTGCTTTGCTGTCTCTTGTACCTCTCCTTTTTTTAAGCATCTCACTGTATTACTCTCTGAAATTCCTCAATCACACCTATCTAGAATGCAAGTTCATTGCATCTTTTTTGTTTTTAATTCTCGCTGTTTAGTTTTCTTGAATCCACTTTGATTTTAGTCATGATAATACTGTGAATTTAAGTTGAACTGTACTATCAGTTGTTTGTTTTTGGTCCTGTATCAGGAGTTCAATAGAGACACTTTCTGTAAAGCCACTCGTAATGTAGACCATGTTCTCTTGAATGTTTGTCAATGTGTTTTTTTTTTTCTTCAGCAAAATGAAAAAGACATGACAATGGTTATATTCAGCTTCTTCATTTGACTGTAGCATGTCAAAGTAAATGTATACAGTGTACAATATGTTGAGTGAGAGGAAACAGCCTTAATGTCTGAAATTGTAATTTTCTCTCACTACGTTTACAATATTTTGTTGGAGTGAATGAACATGTATGTGACGATGAGAAGTATTTGGTTTTGTAAAAGATGGGGTTTCCTTTTTACACATAAAGAAGAATGACTTGTGGGATTTCTGTTTTGTGTGAAAAACATTTCGATTGATATTAAGGTGCAGTGGTTTTTGTTTTAGCTACATAGCATGCAGTCATGGCTTATTAAGACATACTTTTTCACATTTTATATACATCTACCCTGTACACAAGCAAACCAGGCTATAAGGATAATTTATTTACATCTCAATACAGTTATGCTTATGGGCAAAACATACAGAAAGCAGCTTACTGTAAAACCACACAAATCATAAATAGATTTAGAGTGCCCAGTACTTGCAAAGCAATAACATGCAAAACTGTTCATCTTATTGCTACTAAACTAATGCAAGATGGCCTCCTAACTACGTGATCTTTTTTTACAGCACCCTTCATTAATATTGCCGTCCTTTATAAATATGAGTAAAACAGGCTGTTTATCCTCTTCGTGATATATTCTGTATGGAGAAATTATCTTAGATCAAAGTATTCAAGGAAGGGGTTGCCAATACTTGTAACGTATTTTAGAAGATAATGCTTTATAATGCATTTTCAATTATTTAACTTTAGATTTTTTGTAAACATGTTGAATACAAGGCTGAGGATAAACAGTAAAGTTTTTTTTTTTTTTTTTTTACTAACTGTACAAATATTAAAGGTGCACTATGTAACTTTTTTTGTTTTGTTCAAAATTAACAAAATGTAAATGGGTCAATACACCAAATTTTCTCCTTCCATCACTCGTGTAATTGCAGTATCTGTCAGCAGGGACCCTAAACCAGCCCAAATCTTGACCTCTTTCTTCTGCCACGGCTGTTTTAGTGAGATGAACCTGCGGAGATGCAGGAAAGCAGAATACAGGAAGCAGACCTTTTGTTTGAATCTCAACATAAAATGTTTTATTAGGTCAGTTCTTGAGGTCATGAGTTGAGGTCACGTGGCTTGATTGACAGGACTGAGACCTGTATGTTCCATCTAAGATATCAGAATTCTGATTTACTGACACATACAGAGAGTTCTGAAATACAGTATTAAGAGCATGCTGCATATTTACCATGAAAAATGTTAAGCAGAATATAAGTGAGGACATTTTACTTGTTACATTTTTGTAATAATACAACATAACATATGCCTATTAAAAAACATAATAAAACAGGTATTCAATTTTAAGCCTTAAATCTCAGATGGTTTGGTTGCATATCATTATGGCTTATCGCTAACAGGTAAAATTAGAAAAGGAAGCGGTACTGTTTTGTCATAAATAATATTCTCTTTATTTCACTTTGATTAGTATTGCTGCCCTTCATGGAACTGGACAGTGATGATAACAGGCAACTTTGTTCACTTTAAACTAGCTGAAATTATAGAGAAAGAATGGTTGATTTAATGTGTATCATATGGATTCATGTTCTAACAGTGGACAGCAGAATCAGTGTGATGAGTGTATCTACGAGTATTTCCTTTATGCTCTGCAATAAACCATGGTAATAATGAGTTTCAGGTTTACAGAGTTATCAGTCTTCACTTAAAAGCTCAAAAGCTGATTAGCTGCATTCAAAAATTGCATATACATCAGTTTTAAATCCATGGAGTGTCCAAAAAAAGTTGAACTATGGCTTTTGTGGTGTTACTTTGTTTGTGTGTGTTTAAGTTTGGTTCAGGTATCCCCTTAGCCTGGTCCTACCAGACTCTCGTACACATTTCATTTGTGTTTCATAACTGAAGGGAAATAAAAATTGAGCGGAAGTACATAGGAGGGCGGAGCCAGGCTAGTATGTTGGGGGGACAAAATGTCACAAGGATGGCCACACCAGAAATCTTTGACCTTGTGGGAAATTAGCTTATAAGTCCTATTAAGTGATGTTTTTTGAAAATGTAAAAATGCAGAAAAGTTGTCTGTGATGGGTAGGTTTACGATTAGTGTGTGTGTTATTTACAAACATAGTAAAACAACAAAACCAAAAAAAATTATTAATCTAACAGATTGGCAATATTACATAAATACAACAAAATATGTTACCTTCAATCAGCAACAATTTAAATCAAAAAAGTGAATACAAATAGGTGTTTGTATTCTTGAAAAGGCATCAAATAATTAGCATAATAAGAGAACATCTGAATTTTTTTTTTTACAGTATTTTATATTAAGGACCTTAAACCATAATAAATATAATATGAAAAAAAGCTTACTGATTATTTTCTCTTCCATTTCATGCAACCAGTCCTGCTGATTTTGATGACTATGGCATGACATAAAACAAACATAAAACCATTTAAAACTACTGATACAAAGACAATTAATGAAATTTGATATTATATGATAGCACTAAAAAATTATACTCGGCATGATTCCCTGTCATAATGAATCTATTTACTATATTTAAAGACTACCTCCTAAAGTACAAAAAAACATGAGTGGAATTGACAGCACCAGTAGTTTGGTATATTACATCCATTTCTTGGCCATCTACTCCTTGCCAGATCTTAAATTTAGACTTGCTTTGAGAACATCACATAACTATACCTGGAAATTTGTCATAGTAGACAGTAAAGTTCCCATGTAGGCATCAGGGGGCGCTACTCGCTCTATATTGGACCCTCACATGAAATTAGGCAGATATTGTGGCAAAGTCAGTCTCTTAAAGTTCTTTTGGACAAACACAAATTCAGCATATAATTGCATCCATTACCATCATTGCACTCTCAATACAATTCATTTGGAGATAAACATTAAGTACATACATACCCTTTAGATTAGCACATGACCTTTACAGACACCAACATTTTTAAAATCTTGTCCTTCTTTATCCTCAGAGAGCTCTTGCCTCTGACTATTTGTCACCTTCTGAAGGATGCAGGACCCCATGTGAAGGTTTACATTTAAAGAGTGATCCTTAAAACCACGACGTTAGGTCCACGGCTCACTTTTTAGCAGCCACTCGCCGTTTTCTAGTAGCCAGCATGTCGTAGAAAGGATCCCTGCTAATGCTTGCCCTGTAGGATGATAAGAATTATACAAGCGAATCATGTTATTAATAAAAGTGCACATCCACATAAAACAATACGTTTCTGGAAGCAGTGAACCTGATTACAAAAAGTAAAAAAAGAGGTCCTTTAGGATTTGGGTGGCCCAGAGTTCCCGGCAGTCCCACAGGACATGCTGAGGCAGCTTTTGCTGTAAACCAAGGCTAAACTGACCACAGAACAGTTCCACAATCTCAGTTGAGTCAGAGGACATGTGTTAACTAGACGCCTATAAAGCCACAGATCGTACACAATATAGTACACAAATGGCCTTCATGTCACTATATACTATAAGACCTGAACATACGTCATTTCATTTAAAACAAGTCTGTTTTAGACCAAGCAGGAAAACAAAACCAGAGCCATGGCCAACAGCAAGAGGTTAAGTGGTCTTTGGCTTCCCTTTCTCCAGTGATAAATGCTGATCTATCCTCAGGAAAAACCATTTAACCTTGAAAGGACGTGGGTCATTTTAGTCTTGTCAGCCCTTTAGTGTGATGTTTGTATATCCACCACACTGTGTAAAATTATTTTCTTAACCCTAATTTTTGTCTTGTTTTCCAGTAAAAACATCCTTAAAGCAAGATCAATTTAATTAATAATTCAAATTGTGATATTAGGAGTTTTCAGTGAATTAATTTAATTAATTGATTGATTTATCTATATCCACTCATTCACTCAATCTATATATAATATATATATATAATAAAATAATATATATAATAGGAATGAGCCTCACTAAATTGTGTTAGATTTGTGCACAAATTAAGAAATCAATTTAAAATATATTGTCTGAAAGCAAGTCTTAATATCCTATGCAGTTTAAATTGATCTTATTTTAAGCATTTCTACTGGAAAACAAATAAAAAATATTTCTGCAGTGCACAGACAAGGTCTAAAACACTGGAAACACTCGCTTCATCTTATCTGCATGATGGCGATGTTCTATGATAAGAGAAGTCAATGCCCCTTTCTGAGCATCTGTGTGTGTGTGTGTGTGTGTGTATATGACCTACAGCCGACACACATCGGTTATCTGAGAAGAGAATAATGAGGCCTGACACGGTGAAGCCTTACTTGATGGATTTGATCCACTCTTCCTTCTCTTCCGGCGTGGGTGCGGATATTCTGTAGACAACGTGATTCCCCTCCACCACCTTCCCGTCAGCCTCCGTCTTGCATGCCTTAATTACTTGCCCCTTATGACTGGAATTGTAAAGCTCAAAGCAATTCTGAAAGGTCAAAACATTAAACGGTCATTTCTACTTCTTCATTTCTTATTGACTATCTTAAGGGGACTAAAAGTAGGATTCTTCTTAAAGGGATAGTTCACCCAAAAATGAAAAAAATTTCATTTTTGGGTGAAATATCCCTTTAAAGACTACCTAAAGAATATGGTTTAACCGAGCGCTTGAAGAGGAACATACTGGTTTTCTTGGTTCCTCCACCTCTCTTATACTAAGATTCTCCAGTGGAATGATCCCCCGAGGCTCTTTGTCCTGTGAACACATGAGTTATAGACCTTAAATCCCCTGTGTTTATTTGTTATTAAAGCAATTAGTCATAGGACTTAATCTGCAATATGTTTCCCTAAATTAGATGTAAAAGCATGATTAAAAAAGTGAGGGAACTATGTGCACATTAAGCAACAACTGTCTGTCTCTTGGTCTAAATCTGGCACACAGCTAGGGAAAGAATGCATTATTTCCTTCCACTTTGCTGATGAGATGACACAGCGGGGAGGTTGTTGCTTTGAGTGTTTTTCTAGTTTTAGTCCATGCGTGTTAACTTTGAGGTCATGTATATGCCAGTGTACTCATAAACAGACAAAATTGCACGTGTACACATTTAACATGCATTTACTGATGACTCATCCTGCACTACACAGATTTTTGCCCAATCAAATGCTCTAAAAGGAGTTTAGAATATAGAACCTGTATGAATTTATTTAATACATATTCATATATATATATTTCAAAATATATTTTTATAAGGAAGATGTTTTGAAGAATGTTGGTAACCAGACAGTTGATGTACCCCATTGACTTCCATAGTAGGAAAAAGAAAATACTATGGAAGTCAATGGGGTACATCAACTGTCTGGTTACCAACATTCTTCAAAACATCTTCTTTAGTGTTTAGCAGAAGAAAGAAATTCATACAGATTTGAAACAACTTGAGGGTGAGTATATGATGACATAATTCAAATTTTTAATAAAACCTTTCATTTTTAACCTTTACAGTAATACCAACTGAAACTAAGTGAAGAAAGTGCCTTGATTTAAAGAGTCAAGAGTCTTGATTTAAACTAGTTTGTTCAGGTCAAATCCCTGATGTTGTGCTTGTTTTGTCTTTTTTTTAGTGAATGTGCTTTGAGAATGCTGGTGTCTGCTAAGACACTGAACAAATCACTTATGTGCTGTTTACTCACTCTTTTTCTCTCTGACTTCCGCTTCTATATGACCTTCCTTATTTTCACTCATATCTTGCTGTCTGTTACATTTTCTTGATAAATCTTAAATCTATTTATTTCCCAAACAGGAAATATCAAGCAGCTGTACTTACTGTTGTATATTCAAAGTAATATAGACAGTTATCTGTCAAAATGAACCACCTCCTCTTCCAGGTCTTCACTCTTCCCCCTGCAAGTTCAAATACAGATAATAATTTTTTTTTTAAATAATAAGGGCTTACATAGTGGCAGAACCTTTACACTGTAAATAAATCATGGCATGACACGGAATTAGTATAATCCCTGTTTCACACCAACTAACAGTTACCAAAAGATTTGATTATATTAAGGGATCTTTACTTTAAAAATGAAGTGCCATAAAAGCTTTAAAGGTCTGCCAATAACAGCATTATCTGTGTAATCCTGATCAACACAGTGAGATGCTGGATAATACCCGTATAAATTCAATCCACACTCTAAAAAATGCACACTCAACCCATGTTTGGGTCAAATATGGACGAACCCAACCATTGGGTTCAAAACTTAATTCAAAAATTAAACCAACGGTTGGGTTTGTCCATATTTGACCCAAACATGGGTTGAAACAACCCAACATTTTTTAGAATGTATAAAGAAATCAGGGGGAACTCAAGTTTGAAACCATGAAAGAATTATAGATAGAATTATAGACAGAACTGACAGACAGATAGATAGATCGATGATAGATAGACAGACAGATAGATAAACCTAGTTTTGACAGACAGACAGACAGACAGACAGATAGATAGATAGACAGATAGATAGATAAACCTAGTTTTGACAGACAGACAGACAGACAGACAGACAGACAGACAGACAGACAGACAGATAGATAGATAGATAGATAGATAGATAGATAGATAGATAGATAGATAGATAGATAGATAGATAGACAGACAGATAGATAAACCTAGTTTTGACAGACAGACAGACAGACAGACAGACAGACAGATAGATAGATAGATAGATAGATAGATAGATAGATAGATAGATAGATAGATAGATAGATAGATAGATAGACAGACAGATAGATAAACCTAGTTTTGACAGACAGACAGACAGACAGACAGACAGATAGATAGATAGATAGATAGATAGATAGATAGATAGATAGATAGATAGATAGATAGATAGATAGATAGATAGATAGATAGATAGATAGATTGATGATAGATAGACAGACAGATAGATAAACCTAGTTTTGACAGACAGACAGACAGACAGACAGACAGACAGACAGACAGACAGATAGATAGATAGATAGATAGATAGATAGATAGATAGATAGATAGATAGATAGATAGATAGATAGATAGATAGATAGATAGATAGATAGATAGATAGATAGATAGATAGATTATAGATAGATAAAAGTAGTTTTAGCAGACAGACGGACAGACAGATTTACAGATATACAAACCAAGTTTTAGCAACCATCCCTCTCTGTCTGGATTAAAGAATGTATGAGTTAGATCATTCCCATCATCTTCGGGAATTTTGAAAGGCTCATTCTTAATGCTTTCATATAAATTCTGTGGGAAAAAAAGACAATGTAAATGCATGTTCTATCATTACATAACTTGCAACTCTCTCCATCACAGTATGAGGCAGAGACTCACTCTGAGCAGCTCCTCGGGCAGATCTCCTCCCTCGTTGATGCCCCGATTCATGAGGATGAACCTTTCCACTGTGGGCTTGTCTCTGACATTAGGGTTGTGGAGGCTGGTGTTGAGCATGATGACGGAGAACGATAGAACGTAGCAAGTGTCTGTGGAGTGAAGAAACTCGGATCAGTCGGTCAGCTAGGTCCAGATTGGCAAATTAAATGGAGCATGTATGTAAAGATATGAAGAGCATGCAACCCTCTTTTTTTCTTGTTTGAATTTTTTATTAGTTGACTGCTAAATGATACATTCTGAAAGCAGAGAGTTTGATGCAACATGCAGGCCACTTTTTAATGTTTCTGCATCTTTATGCATGACTCCACGCTGAAAGAAAGATATTAATGCTTTGGACATTCACAGACTCTGTTTATCAATAAATAATCATTTTGCGCTTTGTTTAAGCAGTGTGTTTCAACATTGCCGATATTTATCCCTGCAGTCATAAAGCTCTGCCTTCAGTGGAGCAGATTTTGTACGGAGTGTGCTGTACTTCAAGAGATTGGGCCCGGCATGCAAACTATACAGTTTTAATATTATATATGAAATATTTTGGGAATGAGGCTTTTTTATAAGGCTGAGTAAAAGCTTTAGGCCAATGATGGGCCACAATGAGGGGTTCAGGTAGAAGTCAAGCTTACTGCTGATAGAAGTCATACTGTACCTGTGGACTGAAAGACACCTGGGTTACACTGGCAATATCGAGCAGCAAAGGCCTCCATCATTCGGTCTATCTTCTGTGCTTCACCGGGAAGTCTGAAACTCCACAAAAACTGCCTGACAGGGAGAGATGGAAATGACACTTCAAATTATAATATTTGATGGACCTTTCTCTCAAGGAATTCATGAAAGTATTTATGATTTTATTTGCATACAGTAACACAAGGACAATAATTGGCTCTTATCACATTATGCTCTAATCATGGAATATTTTTTGTCTCCTTTCATTTTTCTTTGCGATTTGAACACTCATTCAAAGTTTTCTAGTCTTTAATAATATTTTACCACCATTTGCAAATTGATAAAACTGAATGTTCACATAACATTTTCTGTAACATTTATATAACCAAGGACAAAAAGTGTTTTAAACATTAAAAAAACTAAACGTTTTGAACATTCAGAAATACAATTTTCATAACTTCAAACAAAAACTTCTTAGGGGCCGTGCACACAGATGCATTCTCATTGCGCTTTTTCCATTGTTTGTCTATGTAAACACGAGATACGTGGCTTTGCTTGACCATTGCGTTCACATCTTTTGCAACATCTTGTGCATGAAACGCCATTCTAAAAATTAGTTCAACTGAAAAAAAAAAGTCTCTAGACTTTGCACAAAAACGTGCTCTGTGTCAATGACAAATGACATAGGGTTAAGTTCTGGATATTTAAATACAATGCAGATCGACAAAACAGCTGTCTCACCTCAATGCTTGCACCAGGTTGAGGTCAGCAAACTCATGAAGCTCCACAAACGCCTGCAAAACCTTAATGTTGAAGTCATCTCTAAAAATAATGAGAAAAAATATGTTTAATCATCAGTAGTTATTTCCTCATTTGCTCTAAGCTCCATCTCCAGAGATACTCGCAATCGCTTATTTTTATCTGAAGTCAATCAAAAGAGATTTTCATTTGCTTTTTTTTTTGTTTTCTACAACGGGTTTCACACCAAATACAAAATGTGCACAAGTACAATTATGTAAGACCATGTTTGGTTTTTGGATATAAAAATCATCATTTGAAAATATGTAAAGGTCTTTAAAAAGCAGTAACAGGAACATTAAGTGTAATGAAGAGATGTACCACAGCATATACCTGATTACACAAGCTAAGACGTCTCCAAACTCCTCTAATCAGAAGCACAATAATTACAGCTTCCAGCTCCTCCTCGTAAATACAATTAACAGTAATTGCTATGTTTTATGACCATACTTTCTAGTAGCAAACGAAATGGATAACTGTGCAGCTGAGCTTCAGGCTAGACTAGAGCATAGCCAAGACAACGGTTATCAACTTGGACAGGATGCCTATGTAGACAATGCTATTTTTATATCTAACAACTATTGCACTGTAGTTCAAGCTTACTCTTTCTTTTCTGTCTACTTATTCAGTAAACCTGCCTCAGGGGGTGACGTTGAGCATCTAAGTTGATGCAAACCTTTATGGCTACAATCATACCTTTATTTGACTTGATATTGACAGATGTAGCACTGGGTAGTTCGAGGCAGATTACAAACTACTGGGTAGTTTCGAGGCAATAATAATGTTTTATATCTAATCATGTGTTGAAATATATCGGTGAGGGCGAGATAAGGCACCTTCACGCTGTCTGGGTGATATGCTAAATATTGTTTTGGACATGTGGTCATTCTCAGCTGTTTCAAATAGGGAAAGTCATTTCCTGAGACTGAGAGCAGGGTCTTTTATGAAAAGGTCTTATCTAACATAACACATATATTTTACACAAAGACTGGTCTTGCCATGTGAGCAAGAGCGATGTGACTTACCGTTCCCCTAAATAATCTCCTATGACAGTTTTGTTTAAGCCTTCGCCTTTATAGAGGAACTGAGCGATGTCCCCAGGTGTGTGTTGCAGAAGATCATTCTCCAAAAGAAATTGGATTCCCTGCAAGGATGTTTGAGATGTTAACCACTTCATGATGTTTGCTTAAGCTCAAAATAATACATTACCCAAGACATCATTTTCTATACGGCAAAGTAAATAAAGAAAAAACAACCATAATACCTTTTTAGGATCCATATTGAATTTCTTTCTTCCAACAGCAATCTGCTTGTTCCTCTGAGTGCTTTTGCTGTAATGTGATGTAAAATAACAAATATGAACGAATATTATCTTCGTCTCAATACTAAACAACTCTTTGTAATCTGTAAGAACAAGAAGAAACTTACGTCTCCCTGACACATGTTAAATTCTCAATCTCTGTCATGACTTCTGAGATCTCAAACTTTAACCTCTGAAAGAATCAGAAAAAGTCGTAACTTAAGTTAATCAAATTGATCAAAAATCTTTCTTTATAATCTCATACTTAATGTAATGTAAAATAAAACGCATTCCACCACACCACAAATGACATCCAGCCCCCATTAGTGGGAACTTGTGGTGCGGGTGACATGATAAATGTCAATCACTGAGATATCCTAATGACAATGACTACATTAAAGCTGATACCTCAATGTCATCTAGCAACTCCTTTTTCCTCCGTCTAATGTTGGACAGTTCATCTCTCTCTTCAAGTGAAAGATCTTCAGGCACTGTCGAGAGACAAATGTGACATTAAAATGGTTCATCTAATAATAATAACCCCCAAAAAATTCAAAGAATCCAAAGAAGCTGTATAGCCATATCCCTGACCTAAACTTAAATCCCAAAGTGCTGTGTAAGACATAAAAATCTAGAGCACATTTATCCTCATATATAATGTAAATTCAACTAGCCTTGACTTGCAGCCCAAAACCGAGAAGCAACTCAAGAAGGAAGCTTTACATTTGGGCTGGAAAAAAAACTAGTGTTTAACATAGCCTAAGTACTTCACTTCTTCGGGACACCTATGGTACGACCCCAAATGTTCAAGACCTTCCATGATGAAAGTGATCCTGCATCTAAATAAGAGACTATAAGCCATTCCAACTTTACAACATTAAGTGCCCACTGTCTGAAACACAGAAGGTTCTAGTAAAGAAAACGTACAGAGTAATCACATACTCATCTGCTGGTGTTACATATCTCAGTGGAGGTTTCAGATACTTAAGTCACAACAGACAATTAACTCCTGAACTGACTATAATTATTTTTATTACTTTCACAAGTAGGAGAGTGTTTTGCTTGTGGCTCAGTACTTGTAAATGTGGACACTATGAGTGCATTATGTAATTGTACCCCGGGCGCAGCAGGATTAGACAAGAGACGGGCTAATAAGAGGGGCAGGGGGGAATTTCCTGCGGTTGTCTGGTTCTGCCTCATGACAATGGAGGGGAAGTTGAGAATGAGTGCATGAATCAAGGTTCAACCTTAACAATAACATTATAGGGTGATTCATTGCAGTCAATCTGAGCTCTTATATTAAGTGCAATGGTCTTTTTTCATTCTTTTATTATAAAAGCCATACTAAATCTTAATGAGGAGCCATTTGTTCATTATGCAACAGGGTCTGGATATGGTCAAATGTAACTAGTATGGAAAAAATGGGGTAAAAATAGAATATTCCTTCCAGATATGAACATTATGTGCCTATAACTTGCCTGTGGAGTTGGCAAAATCACTAGAACAGAAGTAAATTCCCTTCTAATGAAATTAAGCCACATTTGCCTGAGGCTCATGGTGAAAATTAGTTTGTCTTCATTAAGGCATTATATGGAAGGCATTATTTAAAGATTATCAAGCTGCTTTCTATATTATTCATATAAATCGTATGTTAAATTTTTGAAAATAAAAATGCAAAAACATCTGTCACTAGTGATGACATGATAATTTTGCTGGAAGTGAATCAATCAAAACCAACTTTAGATGGAAATAACATTATTCAAAAATCGCTATAAAGCCAAAACAATCTCTGTTACCGTAAATTGTATGTTTTATATCTCTGTAAAGCTGCTTTGAGACAATCTCCATTGTTAAAAGCTAATAAATGAAGATGACTTGACTTGACATCATCACCACCCTGCACCTTGTCTTGTGGGAAAACAGGAATGTCGACTGCATGCAAAACTGTCAATTCAAAGCTTCATTCCACCAGCATGAGTGACACTTGCTTGGAAACAATTACAGCTGTTTGTGAAAAAGACTGCAGTGTATTGAAATCCAGCATTGCCTAAATTAGACAAAATTCAACTGAAAATCACATATAAACTAAGTCTGGGGTCAGTAAGATTTTAAATGAAGACTATTTGAAAAAAAAATCTTTTTATCTTTTAACAAGGCTGCTGTCACGGTTTGGGTTTTGTTTCTTGTTCTTGGTTCTTGTCTGTCATGTGAGCCCCTGTTCTAGTCATGTGATCTTGCCTTGTGTTCCCTGTCTGTTGTGTCATGTTGTCATTGGTTGATTGTTTAAATGTTCACAGGTGTCCCTTGTCTCGTCGTTAGTCCAGTATGTATTTAAGCCCTGTCTAGTTCAGTCTTTGTGAGTTGTATCAAAGTGGGTTTCGTAGGGGTCGGAATACAATGGACTCAGTATTGTGCTTAGAATCAGACATCAGGAAAGCCCAGACCAACAAAGAAATATTGATAGCTGTGTTTTTTGATGTTGAAAAAGCATATGATATGCTCTGGAAGGAAGGATTACTTATTAAGTTTAAGTCATTGGGTATTGGAGGCAGAACACATAATTGGGTTATGAACTTTTTGTTTGATAGGGAAATTCAAGCAAGAGTTGGCTCAGAATACTCCAGTGTATATAAGGTGGAGAATGGCACTCCGCAAGGTAGTGTGTGTAGTCCACTGCTATTCAACATAATGATAAATGATATCTTCTCTCAGCTTGAACAAAGCGTAGGGAAATCCTTGTACGCAGATGATAGGCCTCTGTGGGTAAGAGGTCGTAATGTTTTGCACGTCAGTAAGAAAATGCAAGCTGCAATAGTTGATGTGGAAAAATGGGCCAATAAATGGGGATTCAAATTGTCTGTAGAAAAAACAAAGGTGATTTGCTTTTCAAGGAGGCATAAAGTCATTCCGATTTCCATGAAGTTGTATGAACAACCACTTGAGCTAGTTAAGACAGTTAGATTTCTTGGGGTTTGGTTTGATGAGAAGCTTACATGGAATCCTCATTTAGACAAAGTCAAGAACAAATGCAAAAAGGTTATAAATATACTCCGCTGTCTGTCAGGACAAGAGTGGGGAGCAAGTAGAGTAGCCCTACAAAATATATACTGGGCATTAATGAGGTCGGTTTTTGACTATGGATGTATAGCGTACATGTCAGCAGCAGAATCAAATCTTAAGAAGTTGGATGTAATACAAGCTCAGGCTTTGAGAATTTGTAGTGGATCTTTTAAAACCTCTCCTGTATCAGCAATGCAGGTCGAAATGGGAGAAATGCCGTTAGGAATCAGGCGAATAAAATTAATGATGGCATATTGGGTGAATATCCAGGGCCAATGTGAGTCGCATCCTGCCAAGAGTCTTTTAATAGATTGTTGGGAACACAATAAGACAAATTTCATAAGTTTTGGGTGGATTGGCGATGCAAAAGCAGAAGTCATAGGATTAAGACATTTAGATTACAGCTCTACAGTGATACAGTCTTCTATTCCTCCCTGGTTATTCCCAACACCACGTGTAGACCTCGATATACAACAGGAATTGAAGGATATGTCAAAGAATCTTCCTGAAAGTAGAATTGTACAGAATTATTTTGATTTGCATTTCGCAGATTCCATGGTTATATTCACAGATGGTTCCAAAGATCCTGACACAGGGCGTGCAGGTGTAGCAGTTTACATCCCAGCAAGTGAGTCATATATTAAGAAAAGAATATCGGACCATGTGTCAGTATATACCACAGAATTGATTGCGATATTATTGGCCCTGCAGTGGATAGAAGAGAGGGAAACAAATAATACTGTTATTGCATCTGATAGTTTGTCTGCACTTATGAGTATTAAATCTGGCAAATCATTATTTAGATCTAATATCATCAATGACATATTCCTTATGTTATACAGGATGGAGCTAAAGGGTCTTTCCGCATGCTTTCTTTGGGTTCCTGCTCATGTCGGTGTGGAGGGGAATGAGCAGGTGTATATGCTGGCCAAAGGATCACTCAAAACTAAACATGTGGACTTAAAAACCCTGTTAAATAAAGATGAAGCCAAGTCAATTATCAGGAAGTATGCACAGTCCGTTTGGCAGGGGTTTTGGGATAATAGTGAAACTGGAAGGCATTTGTATAATATACAGAGACAGGTTGGTGCTGGGAGGATGGTGGGCTGGAAAAGGAGGGAAGAAAGTTTAATAACTCGTCTGAGAATAGGTCATACAGGTCTAAACCTTTCATTGTATAAAATAGGTAAGCACCCAACTGGGAAATGTACTTATTGTAATCAACCAGAAACAGTGGAACATGTTCTTCTTCAGTGTAGGAAATACAATAATAAAAGGGAGCACCTTTTTCAGTCACTACGGAAGGCAAAATATCATGACGTCTCGTTGTCAGGTCTCTTGGGGAAACAGATATATTGCTATATAATTAGGTTTCTTAAAGAAACTGAATTAATTAAAAGAATCTGAATCTAATAAGTATTATTATTATTATTATTTTATTTTGTTCTGCTTAATCTCTCGTTCCACACTCCAGTCCAGTTGGTGGCGGTAATGCCACCGCCATTAAACTCAAGAAGAAGAAGAAGAAGAAGAAGAAGAAGAAGAAGAAGAAGTCTTTGTGAGTTCTTAATGTTATGTTGTATGTTGGTTGTCCTGTTCCCGAGTCTTATTTCTGAGTTTGTGAAGTCTGGAGTTTGTTTAATAAAGTGTACTGCATTTGGATCCTGATTCCTCCTTGCTTCAACCACCTCTTCATAACAGCTGCATTAATTTATTTGAGTTTGTTTTGGGTGTGTTTGCATGTGTTTTAGTTCTGTTTCCTTTGTTATAGTTTTTCATTGATTTGATGTGTTGCAACTTGCACCTGATGATTAATCATTACGTTGATTAGTTTGTCTGTGTATTTTTACCCTGTGTTTAAGTTCATTGTCTGTTCTATTCATTATATTGTTTGTCCTGTTCCAGTGTTTGGCATTGTATATTCCTCCTGAGTATTTTGTTTCTTTTAAGTTTGGTAATAAATCAACTAAATCCAGCTCTGTATTTCATCCCTGCTGCAACCTACGCTGACAGTAATTCAGTGAAATATTACAATTTATTCCAGTTATGACAAAGCAGATTTTTTTTTAGCAGCCATTACTCCAGTCTTTAGAGTAATACGATCCTTTAGAAATCATTGTAATATGCAGATTTGGAGCTCAAGAAACATTTCTTATTATTATCAATGTTTAAAACAGTTGAGCTGCTTAATATTTTTTATGGAAACTGATTAAAAAAATCTGGATTTTTCAGTGAATAAATTAAAAAGAACAGTATTTATTTTTCATAGAAATCGTATTTATTATTTTATAAATGTATTTACTGTCACATTTGATTACAAAAAAGTAAAATCATCTCACTGACCCCAAACTTTTGAACGCTAGTATACGATCTTAGGAAAAGATTAATTGGATTCATGTTGACGTTCTGGGTGTAAATGTGGATATTAAAG